TTAAGGTGATTTTTGTCAAGGAAGGTCCTAATTTCTCCATTGAGTCTGAAAGATAGTTTTATAAGATATAGTAAATTGGTTTGAAATTATTTTCCTTTGTGGCTTGAATAACTTGCCTCCAAGGTCTCTTGGCCTTTAAGTTCTGTGTTACAAAATTACATCTAAACTATTTTATAGGTAATTTATTGTGTATCTCTAACTGCTTTTAAAAATGTCCTTGTATTAGACTTCTGGAATTTTGCTTATGATGTGACATGGGGAAGTTCTTTTCTTATTATAGCCATTTGAGTTTCTAGATGCCTAACTTACTTGTATATTAAATTCTTTCCCCATACTTGGAAATTTCTCTGGTATGATTTCTGTGAAAAAAATTTTTATGCAATTTGTGCCATCTTCTACTTTCTTTCTCTCTCCACTTTTAGTCTTCTTTGCATCATTTAACAGTTGTTGGATTCAATCACTGAGTATATAGTCACTGGCATCAGCCCTGTCTTCCCTTTCTGACACTCTTTTCTCACATTCATCACTTCTGCTGCTCATACTTTCCAAAGGATATTTTATCACCTGGATTACAGTTTGGTGCCTTTTCATGAACTCTGATTCTTTCCTAAATTGGCCATTCATGATTTGTATCATTTGGGTTAGCTCAGCTCGCCTTTAGTTATATATTCTTTATGCTCCCTGATCTTTTTTATTAGTACATGGTAGCAGTACATAATATTAATATGCCTTGTGTAGAGTTGGTACAAGTATATAACACATTTTAATTTCTTTTTTCATCCTCTTTCCTTCCCCTCCCTCCTCTTCCTTCCAACTCTTGATTCCCTTCCCCTTTGAGAAAGATCTGTCTCCCTACTTCCTATTATCTTTTATTTTGCCCTTTATAATTTTGGGGTTTTTATGTAAGAGAAACAATGGGTATTTAAGCTTGTGTGTCTGATTTATTTCATTTAACATTATGGTCTCAAGGTACATCTGTTTTCCTACAAAGGACTCAAGTCTATTATTCAGGCATAGTACTCCACTGTCTATAAATACTTCATGTTCTTTACCTATTCATCTGTTGATGGACAGATAGGCTGCTTCCAAGATTTAGCTATCACATATTGTGCTGCTATACACTTGGGTATGCATGCATCTCTGTAACATGGTGTCTTTAGCTCTTTGGAAAGATACCAAGAAGGGGAAGAGCTGGGCCAAATATGGTTTCTAGTTTTCCTTTTTGAAGAATCTGCTACTGATTTCCATAGTGGTAGTATACCAGTTTACATTCCTGCCAACAATATAGAAGGGTTATTTTTCTCCTGTAGCCTTACCGGTATGTTTTATTTGATTTCTTGATGATGGTTGTTTTTTCCGGGGCAAGATGGAGATCTCAGTGTTAATTTAATTTTCATTTCTGAAATGGCCAGTGATGCTGAGCATTTCTTTGTGTATTTATTTATAAGTCCATTATCTGTTTAATTATATCATCTTTCAGCTCCTGGAACACCTTATAGATCTGGTTTGTTTGTTTCTGTTTTCACTTTATATAAACCAGCCATTTGGTTTTTTATTTCCTCCCCATCAACACCCATTGGATCCATTTTGGGGTACTTCGGAGTTCTTGAAGGAATTTTTTTGGCCTTGTTTTCTCATGTTTCTAGAGCTCTCTCTCCCCCAACCCCCCTCTTTCACGTGTGCTGAGAGTTGAACTCAACTAGAATGGACTAGAGTGGACAGAGTTTGTTGCCGGGGTGGACATCTCTTGTTATTGTGATCTTGACTTTGGTTGCATTTTGATATTTATCTACCTCTTTAACCTACTCAATTTAATAGGATTAGACCCCATCACTGTGTTGCAAGGAAAGCTTCCTTACTGGTTATATCATTGTCAATAGATCCAACCATATGCAGCCACATACATTAAAACTTGTTTTAGCAATGTCCCATATAGAGTGTACTCTACTGCTACAAATAGGTAGACTGGAATATAATGGAAAGGAGGATGGAAACAGGAAGAGAGAAAGGAGGAGAGGGTTAAATCAGCAAGAAGGGAGAGAAGAAAAATATCCATAGATGAAAAATAGACCAGAAATCTGCCTCTGTTAGAATTATTTTTATAGCTAGAGTGAAGTGCTAGTAGTGAGGGGCTTTGAGAAAATATTTGTGGGAGTACGAGAAAGGACACGGAGAGAGGGAAGTGTACAGTAATTGAAGATTGAGGGAAGCTGTGAGAATGTCAGAATCTCTTAACGTGTTGGTAGTTAGCTTAATTTTAGATCCTGTTTACACATTCTTGTGATATTACCCTGACATGCCCGTGAAAGGTACTACAGTATTTAGATTAAAGTACTAGTTCTGATTTTCTTTTGCACATATAAAGATATTTCATTTATATGTCTATCTATCTATATCTATCTATATATATATATACACACACACGTGTGTGTGTGTGTGTGTGTGTGTGTGTATGTTAGATGAAAGGCAGAACAGAGCAAAGATAATGGGAAAAGAAAGAGAGGAAAAGGGAGGAAAAAAAGACACAGAGGAAGTAAAAAGAAATCACAACCAAGCCAAACAAAAACAAATCCTCACACAGTTGAAACAAAATGAAAGCACCTTCACAGTCCTGATTATATTGCAGTCTGAGTTCCATTAGTGCTCTGAAAACATATGGGTTGTTTGACCAAAGAATAAAAAAGAACTGAGGAGCAAGGAGAAATTTAAATTGGTATGGGAGGGCCACGAATGTTGGGAGGGGACGCAGAACACATATCAGTTGCACCAAAGAAGGTGCCGCATCCTCTGGCATCTGTGTGAGGAACACCTGCGCAAGCCAAGCAGTTATTCTGGCTGAAGAACTTATCGTTTCTGGCCACTTGAAGTTAGCCTGCCAAGAATTTTTCTGGGAATAGCATTTTAAATATTATGTAAGAATTTATGTTTACTCTGAAAGCTGTTGGAAAATGGAGGGGAAGGCATAAAGATAGTGCATAATTCGACCACCCTAACCACTGTTGTCATTTTAAAAAATATTATCTATCCATACTCTTTCTTTGTTCTTCCCTTCTCTCAGTGGTAGAGTCAGAGGCCATGTGTAGTTATACATCCTGGTTTTTTCTTAACCTAACATTCTATTTTCCTACAACAGAAGAATTTCTGCCATGCAAGGTACATATGATGCTATATTTTGATAGAACTCATTTAGCTGTTTTCTTACTGTTGAGCAGATTATTGGTTCTACTTTTTTTTGTATTAGGTAAGCCCCTTGTTCATGCACAATGGCCCCCAGTTACATTGTACACTCTTCCAAGTGCTTCATGGATGAGCTCATTTAATCCTCACAAGAGCATGAGGAGGTCAATGTATATTTATATCCCTGTTGTACAGATGAGGAAATCATACAGAGGTTAAGCAGCTTGGACAAACCATTTAACAGGAACAGCAGAGTGTTTCCCCAAAACTTCCTTAGCTTTGGGAAATCTGGGTCCAAACATATAAACATCAAGGCTATAGGTATACATGAGGGAATTATTTCAGGAAAATGTGTGACTTTTCTTGCATTCACACAAGATTCTAGCACTAAGGTTTTAACTTAGCAAGTGTTACAGCTTCTGTCTAGATATCCCCACAAAGCTTCATGTACTCATGGGTGGGGCTTTTGGGTAATAACTTGATCGTGGGTATGTGATACTGGATCAGTCTATTGATTGGCTTAGCTAAGTTCGAGGTGTGGGTGGCACCAACCAATAGGCTTGTACTCTGGATGGAATAAAAAAGGAAAGAAGGAAGAAGGATCGCTGTCTCCTGCCTGTGCTGCCATGACTGTTTCTCTTCCGCCATGTCCCTCTGCCATGCTGCCCTGCCTTGGAACCAACTATGGACTGAAACCCCTATAAACTGTGAGCTAACACAAACCATTCCCCTTTAACTTGTGTGTGCTAGGTATTTTGTCCCCCGATGAGAAAGTAATGAAGATGACAAGTTACTAGTGACTGTTTTCTTGAGGTTTTTGTGTGAGAGCAACTAATATACTGGGAACATGTTCCTTCTCTGCATCTTTATGCAGAAACAAAAGCTACTGTGAAAATGTAGTTCTAGGATCTATACCTGTGTTGTTCTGGAGGGTTGGTAAACTGTCTTTCAGAGCTGGGCTGTGGGCTCTGCTTTTATAAAGTTAAGCATTTACCTGCACTAGCATCCCTGCCTTACCTAATTGAGTTGTGTAGCAAATGTAATGAGGCTCAAAGTGTCCATTGCTGATTCTTTGGCAAAGGGAAAGCCTGTGTTACTTTGAGTGAAACAAACACCAAGTGTTCTGTCCCTATCCTTTGGCGTTTTAATTTATAATTTCTTTGTTATTACCTCTTTATAAAACACTGAATGTTAAGAAGGAGGCCTCTGGGACAGAAGGAACTTGTTTCTTTCTACAAAAAACAGCTTTTCTGAGAATCCTTCCCAGTCATGTGGTCAAAACCAGACCACAGTACGAGTGTGCTCATATCTACAGACTCCTCTATCTTCATACCTAAGAGTTCTGCTGCTTAAAGGCCAAGAATACTGTTTACAACATGAGTTCATTGTGACATACATAATCCCTGGGAGGGAAGGCAACTTAGGCTCCACAAGGCTTATCAGACGCTTTCTGGCATGAGACCTGGAAAAGAATCATGAAGACGTGAAATACTCAGTGTACATTTTGAAAACTGGGACAGGAGTGGGGAAGGGTGTAGTGGGTCACTTGTGGCAGTGTGATTCACAGGTAAACACAGAGCTATAGGGTAGTAGGGAAACACTCCTGAGACAGACCTTGTTTTCCTTATTATTTGTCCCAAGCTGGAAAGTGGGTATTCAGCTATAGCTATAGAAACAAAGCAAAACAAGCAGAAAGAAGCAAAAAAAAAGTTGGAATCCAATGTGAGGATTTCACAATCACCCCCTCACCCCCACCGCAGCCGCCACCCAGAATGGGAATGTTCTACTTTGACATAACAAGAAATCTGTTTATGTTTGTAAAGGATCAGCCATGGACTCTGCTTCTGGAGCAAACAAACAAGGATATAGTAAATCTAAAAAAGATTAACTCCTAGAAAGCAGGTAAGAAAAAGAAATCCCACCGCTAATACAGGTTCTACTGATCATCTAAAATGCAGGTACAGTTAATAAACATTTGAGAGAAAGGATCCATAGCAGGATCCAAATCTTGAAAGGATCCAAATCTTGAATTGCAGTAACAAAATATATGCTCTTAAAACTGTCTTGTTAATGCTGGACATGGTGGTCACATCTGCAGTCCCAGCACTCTAGGAGGCTGAGGCAGGAGGATTGGATATTGAAACCTAGTCTGGGCAATTTATCAATTTAGCAAAAGCCAGTTTTGAACAGGAAGAAAGAAAGAGAAAAAAAGGAAGGAAAGAAAGGCTGGTGGGTACAACTCAGTACAAAGGCTGCAGGCTCAGTCTCCAGTACCACAACGAGAAAAAGAAAAACTGTTTTGTTAAACATACATTTTGAAAAGATGTTTAGCTTTTGATTCTTAATAGAAAAGGGGAATGATTCCTCCCCCTTGAGGTTCCTACCTGGTCCCCTTTTCCGCCCCCACCTCCAGGATAGTTGTCAGAGGTTGTGCACTGTCTGTAAAGCAACTATCGAGCTAAGGAGGCTGATCTCTAACATTCCCACTGCAGAGACAGTGATGTTCTAAAGCAGCGGCTTCTCTTTCTGCTTTCAGGTTGACTCCCCGAGACCTGGGAGACCCCCAGAGCAGGGTGGGGTGGAAGTGTCAGTCTTTCCAGCCACCACTCTGACCTTCAGTTTTCCTCCTCATTTACTCCTTGTCCAAACAAAATTATTAAATACATCAACCTTTTATTTGTGTTGTCTGATTTAATGTCTGATTTAAAGGTTCATCTGAAGTTTTTTTTTTTTTAAATTGGACATTCATAGGCATTTAAGGGTAATGTTGCTCTGACATTTGAAACTTTTTGTGAAATATTCACTGGAGTACTAGCATTATTTACTTAGGAACATTGGATTTTAACCAGCTTTAGTCTATATAAAATAATCCATGCAACAAAAGGGACAAAAACACACATTGGAGGAAAGACAGCTTTTTTAATAAATGGTGCTGGGAAAACTGGATATCCATATGCAGAAGACTAAGTGTAGACCCATATATCTTACCATGTACTAAACTAAAACCAAAATGGACCAAAAAATAAATATTAAAATAAACAATCTGCTGGAAGAAAAAACTAGGTGATTCTTGAAGTTATATATTGGTGCAGGCAAGGACTTTCTGAACAGAACCCCAAGGGCACAAGAAGTGGTACCAAAAATCAACAAATGGGATCATAACAAATTAAAAAGTGTATGCACAGCAAAAGAAACAACCAAAAAAAAAAGCCTACAGAAGGAAAAAAAATTTGCTAGAGACTAATATCTAGAATATATAAAGAACTCAAAAAAACTCCCCCAAAATAAAAGATCCAATCAAAAAATGGGCAACTGAAATGAATAGAAGTAGTACAGAAGTACACATAGCCAATAAATACATGAAAAAATGTTCAACATCACTGCCCATAAGATAAATGAAAATTAAAACTATGTTGAGACATTTAGTCCTTGCTGCTTAATGCACAAATTAGTGACTTTAATGGAACGTGTATGTTTGCCTCTCTGCTAGCAAGCAGGTACGGCTTACCCAATGTATGCCACCATCTTACCCCAGAAAGAATGGATATTATAAAAAACAAATTCTGGTGAGAATGTGGGAAAAATGAACTCTTACACATTATTGGTAGGAATGTAAGCTGGTGCAACCACTGTGGAAGTCAATGTGAAGATTCTCAAAAACTAAAAACAGAAATTCCATGTGACCCAGCCATCCCCCTTCTAAGTATCTTTCCAAATGAGTTAAAATTATCATAGTACAGGGATACATGGATACTGTGTTTATAGCAGCACAATTTATAATAGCTAGATCTTGGAAGCAGCATATATGTCATCAATAGATGAATAGATTTAAAAAATGTACTTATACAGAATGGAGTACTACTCTGCCATAAAGAAAGATAAATTTGAAGGATTCATAGGCAAATGGATGCAACTTGAGACCAAAAGGTTAAGTGAAATAAATCAGAGACGAAAGCTTAAATATCACTTGGTTGCTCCTATATGAGAATCCCAGAGTAAAAATAAAGAGCAAAAGGAAAGATAGATAATCGGAAGTAGGGAGATGGAGATTTCTCAAAGGGGAAAAGGATTAAGAGATAGAAAGAGGACAGAGGGAAGGGAAGGATAAAGGATGAGAAAAAGGAATGGGAGTCCTTTATGTATGTGTACCAACTCCATACATGGAATGTGGACACTATGTACTGCAAACGTGTACCAAAAAAAAAAAAAAAAAAAAAAAAA